AAACATGGATCTATAAAACTATTCACAAACTATTTTGGAGTGAAATCTTGTACAATGTTCACAAAAAAAAAAATACTCCCCAGGAGTCGCTAAGAACCATTCTCGTTTTACAGGCCGTAAACCTTGCCTAGAATCTATAATACGCCTGGCTCTCTGGGCGCTGAAAAAAATTCGCCACTCAAACATAGAACTTATCGAACACAGCCCTTACTTAAATAATCTTTTACTTTTGGGCTCTATCGATCAAATTACTCGTCTGCTACGAGTGTCTAGAGGTTATATTAATGCATGATAAGAGAAGCAACCAAGCGCACAATTTACAACTTAGCTTATCACTTCCGGAGAAAATTACTCAAGTCTGTAGCAATTTTAAAGTAGGAAAATTCCTCTTTGAAACTGATGGTTTCAAATTAAGATGAATATCTACAAAAACTGAAGGAGAAAACATCCTCACCTTTGCATTTAAAAATCTCAAGGTTATACTTCATTTGTTAAGGCAGTTTCTAGTTTTCCATTATAGATTTTGCATTCAAAACTATGCTATCTCCGCATACACTCTAGGGACATATTTCCAGTTATTGTTTCTCGTAGCAAAATTCTTCCGCTAACTCTCGCAGGTTCACAAGCTCGTGCTGTAATGCTTGACCTAAAATCTGGTGCGTTGCGGCTGAACCTTTTTCTTCCCTCCAATGCTTGAGCATTTGATATCCCTTTTCAGATAGTGCCTCGTTTGATTGGCTAATTTCTTCAAACTTTGGATCTTTGATTCCCAAGCGGCGCCCAAGCTTTTTCCAAGCACCACCAAGCCTGGAGGCAAGATATTCCAGTTCATCATCGCTAGGTGTGCCTTGTTTGACTGCAAAGACAACTTTATCCTTAATGACAAGCATATATGGTTCACGTCATAGGTTGAATATAAGGTCAATATCAAGTTTCAGCGATCATACTAAAGGTGGCGTTTTGCAAACACTCCAAAGTCTTAGGAAACGTTGGCAAAATTTTAAATGGAAAGTAAAGCAACAGAGGACTCTTTACGCAGCCTCAAACACGAGGGGGGTTGAGAGAATTCGAGCAAGTTATGCTGCGTCGACAAAACCCGAATCGGATCACGGACCGGATCACAGATCACGGATTTGACTGCAAGAACAAATTGGAAGTTAACAAACAGCACAGCCCGAGACAATGATTACCTTTATAAAGATACAATGCAATTGATATGCTGTGTGCTATAGTACACACACACACAGCAAAAAGAGGAAAACTACGAGAGTAAAATCGTGTGAAGAAAATATATCTATCCACCTACCTGTGTGTGTGTATGTTTGTGTGTGTGTGCTTGTGTGTGTGCGTTGTGTGTGTGTTTGTGTGTGTGTGTGATGGGGGGTGCGTGGGTGGATGCGTGCGTGTGAGTGTGTGTGCGTGTGTGTGTGTGTGTGTGGGTGTGTATGTATCTCTCTATCTATGTATCTAGTGTAAGTTGCGACCTTAAGGAAATATCTAGATACATAGATAGAGATACATACACTAGGTGTAAGTGTAAAAGTGTTATAATGCTGTAATTGTTTGTTACGTTCAGGTTTGGTCTCATTTATATAAAAAGCTTCTTTGAGTTTTAAATCAATTGAGTTGTTAGCAGAATCCAGAATATTAAAGCAAGAAAGGGAGTATTTGTTCTTACAGGAAGATGTGTTGAAATGCTTAAAAATATGCGAGTTTTTATCGCTTTCCGTGTGCTTTTTTTATCCTAGTAGTGAAGTGGCGACTAGTTTCGCCAATATAACGGGAATTACAACCCGCACAAGAAAATTGGTAAACTACCATCATAGTTAGTAGAGGCTACCATGGATTTTAAAGCACCAGGAGTACGATCTTTAACACTACTGAAAATATTTTTAATTTAAGAGAAGTGAAAACTAGTTTGATATTAAGGTCCGATTTGCAAAAGCGCTTAGTGAGTTGTCGGAGTTTAAGATTCCCTATTTTAGAATAATAGCCGACAAAAGGGGTTTAAAGCAATGTGGATTATTGTCATAAATGTTCCGGCTATTTTGAGAGGAGGACCCGTCAAGATACCGCTTGAAAGTTCTGTCAATAATATGCGGAGGAAAAGAATTACGTTTTATTAAAGTGTAGGAAAGTTTATTAAGATCGTTTTGAAGGCCAGAAGAGGTGTTGTTGATTTTGTAGAGTTCGGATAAGGCCAATTTTGTAGCATGATGGAATAAAACTAAAGAAATTTGTTAGGAGACCAGTGTGGGTTTTTTTTTATGAAAAACTGAAAAAAAACAATCATTCGAAGAGTTGTCGATAAATATATCAAGAAAGGAGAGTTTACCATCATTCTCTTTTTCGAAAGCATCCTTGTAATTCCCGTTATATTGGCCAAACTAGTCACCACTTCTCTACCAGGATAAAGGAGCACACGGGAAGCGATAAAAACTCGCATATTTTTAAGCATTTCAACACATCTCCTTCTTGTAAGAACAAATACTCCCTTTCTCGCTTTAGTATTCTTTATGGATTCTGCTAACAACTCAATTGATTTAAAACTCAAAGAAGCTTTTATATAAATAAAAAACACACGTATTTAAATAGGGGATTTAAAAGGTCGAGTCTGCTTTCTTGAGCAAACTGAAATACATGGTTCGTACAACTTCAGAGAAACAAAATTCAAGGACTTTTCAAGGACAAAAAATGGTTTCCAAGGACTAGGTTTTAATCATAAATCTAACCCATTTACGATTGAATACACATTTGCCCATCGCTCAATTAAATTGAAAACAAAGGGAAATGAAAAATTCATTGACCAAAACATAGCAAAACCACTACATATTTACGTTGCCCCTTAAAACAAAAGCACATGGCGGACTACCCCACATCGGAGGCCTTGCGCATGAAATATATTGAGGCACAGAGCCAACTTTGCTTCATGTACCACTCACGTTTTATACCGACCATTTTTGCTTTTTGGTAGTTACTAGTCACTAGTGCACAAATTTTCCATAGCAAAATCGTTGAATTCATCAGAAAAGCGATAAAGCGTACAGAACTTGCTAAATTTCAAGGACTTTTCATGACCTACTAAAGAAATCAAGTACTTTTCAAGGACTTAACCAAATTGAAGTACTTTTCAAGACGACCGTTAAAATTCAAGACCTTTTCAAGATTGTACGAACCATGAAAATACCTTTGAAATAAAATTTCAAATTTTGGAATGATGTTTACAGGCAAAAACCCAACAGCAACATCAGATACTAATACCTGGCTTTGCTAAATTCTACAATATCTATTGATCACACAAAGAATCGTTCCATATTGGGTGGGGCATTTGAATGCAATTTTAACTGGAGAATTTGAGCAAATCTTCAAAAACTCAATTGTCAGGGGGGATTGTAGGGGGAAGGGATGATGTTGAAGCTTTGAATTGATCGACACATAACTAAGTCAAAAATAGCTATCTTTTGACTGAAAATCAGGTCAAACCCTCCTCTCAAATAAGGGGGATGACTAAAGATAATTTCTCAGCTGTTATAATGCACTGATCAATTCAAAGCTTCAAAATCCTCCCCCTCCCAGAGCAACTAAAAGGCATTTGACTATCATCTGTGCCTAGGGGGTGGGAAATTTGAACCTTGCCTGGTTGGGGTGGGGGTTTAAACCAGAAGTGTCAAGTATTTCTAGTGGAATTAACTTACTTTATCTTTTTAAAGTGCCCCAGAAGAAAAGGTCTACAAGAGCGTCATGGTCACTAACCCTGCCTTTTACAGAAAACAGACAAAAAAAAAAATGACAATCAAATCCAGCACTTTGGTGGGGCATTTGAACATAATTCTTGCCCTTACAAAGTCTTAAGAATTGTTAAGTGGAAAGAAGATGTTGTAAAAACTCAAGTCAATGAAATCAAAATATATATAATGATATTTATCAACCATGATTGACCATGTATTCTTACACTGTGAATTGCGAGATCCACTTGTAGATGGCTGCTGGCTTGTGTAAAAGTCGGCAATTGCCTGGTCACCACCTGAAAGTCACAATAAAGATATTTGAACAAGTTATGACAATTAAAAACACAGCGGGAAACATGAAAAGAAATAAACAAAATAAACCACTTTGGAACAGACTCTTTAGACTGATATCTGCAAGATTTGTTTCATATTTCAGAGATACTACAGTTTTTGAATGATACATGTACATCATGACATCATATTACTTTTCTTGAGGCTATTATTCTGTGAAGTTGGGGTTTCTTAGAGGTTACCTTAGTTTGAGACATTAAATCAAGGAGGGTACTCAAGAATTACTCTCTCATATTGCAACCATTCTTTCCTTCTTCCATTTTTGTATGCAACAATGGCAAGGAGTATTCTATTAAATGAGTATTCTGAGCATAAGTGTCTTAGTAAATGAAATTATTTTATTACTTCTACACTATCCTGGGGAAATTCATGATTTAGCATTCTGTAAGAAAATTCATTACCTGACTTGTGTATTCCACATTTAATTGCATGTGAAAACTGATATTGCACTAATAGCTTTGCAACTCGTGCAATATTGGTTTTTGAGTTCAATTTAAGGCAGAATTCATGAGTCAGGCAATGGATTTTCCTTGAATCACATAACTTGATAGAAATAAGAAAAAAAGAAAACAGCAGTAATATTAATTGTTTGTAACCTGGGCATGAAACAAGAGATGTAATATCACTTAGCCTTGTTTCATGCGAAACACCTCACTCCATTTAAAAACCAATCAGACTGCAAGATTTTATTCAATTATACAATTCTTTTTTGAATGTTTAAATATATACAATCTAGATACTTTAAACTTTACATTGCTTTGCTCTTTCAACAAGCCTTTGAGAAAGGTTGACTATCAAACATTCAATGTCTCTTTCAGTCAAAAAGGAACTTTTAAGAATTCATCTTATTTTGTGGGAAGTTTGAAACATTTCAAACAAACAAAAAGAACAGTTACTGCAGTACCAGGTGAGTAGTTGCTGGCACTTGTGATCTGACTTTCCCATGAGGGGTTCAATCCTGAAGCAATGTCAGACATGACTTGTTCTTCATTAGAACTACTTCCTTTGTCATCCTCAATATCATCATCTTCAACTCCATTACCTGGTGTTGGTGGGTACACTGAATGTTTCATGAAAGCAGAGCTTTGTGAGTGAAAAGACCTACAGCTGTTCCCCAGGGTTGTGTTGTACAAGTGTACTTTTAATGCTCAGGAACAATCCTAGAACTTTTGATAAGAGGAGATTCAAACTTTGATACCACTCCACCATAGACACCTGGAGTTAATTTTGGTGTGTTTCACATTAGCATGTGTTTTATTGTTAAAACAAAAAACAAAAAAACAAGAAAACAAGAAAAGAAAAAAACAAAAATCAGCCAGTTGACTGGTAAGATGCAATCCTGGCATTGTAAATAGTAAAAGGGGTGGCTAAGACTCCCCAGACCCTCCCTTTGGGCAGGGTCTGGGACCTGGCTGTATATATATGGTAACTTTAGACTGTTACAGTATTTCCATTCCCCTTCAGCATAAAGATACTTTGAAATTGAACCTCTCAAATGAAGCCACTTAACCTATGGCAGAATTAGGTGGTCATTGCATAGAATAAAATTTTTGACAATAAGGCAGCCTAAAAGATTATAAACTCTGAGCTGAGGGATTGCAGAAAATATCTACATAGGAGTAAATCAAAAGGAGGAAACATACATAAATTAAACAGAAGGATGCAAAATCACATGTAAAGCTAGACTATGATGGGAAAATGACAACATGATGGGCCTTAAAACACCTTGTGGCACCACTGCTGTGTAGAGAAGACAAAGAGATCTGGACTAATATAGCACTCGATAGGGAGATTTCATCTCTGATAATAACTGCTAAGGGACCAAATAGACCTAATTAACAAGAAGGATGCACAAACACTGAACAAATTCAATCATTCCAAGTAATTCCCATTCACAGTATTGTAACAAGATTTCACCATACTGTAATGATCAGTGTGAGTACTGCTGTGTCGAGAGGGGGGGGAGGGGGGTAATGCAAGATACTTGTACTTAATGGGATTTTTTTTACTTATTGACATAACCAAATATTCTATAAAATCTTACCCTGACCCACAACAATTCACACTATTCTTTAACAACACATGAATGTTTTCAAAAGATTTCTCAACCCACTAAACTTGATCATTTCTGAAAAAAAAATATATACATCTGCCTCATAAAAATGAGAAAGCATTTATAAGCAATGGTAAACAAGGGATTACAACAAAGATCATGTAACCAGACCTTTAGAAAAGCATGGTGTTCAGCTTTCAAAGCATGCCTACAGCCAGCATTACTGTAAATTTCCACTCTAAAGATTAAGTTTTAACAAGTGTCAAACACAAAGGACGGTGCATTTGACATGATTGCCTCACCTTCTGGAAGACCAGCAACAACAATAGCTCTCACAAAATGAACAATGACACTCCTTGCTGCTCTTTCTAACTTTCTGAGTGGGAAGAGATCATTTTTTCTCCTGGAGGCCTTTTGTAAATCTGCATATAGGGAACCACTTGGTCTAAAGACATTATTTATGGCTGTGACTACACCAACTTTTCTACGTTTCCTGAAAAAGCTGGAGAGCAAACTGCCATCCAGATTTGCCACTCTTCTAACACAACATCCCTTCATCTCAAGATTGATAACATAGTTTTTAAGCTTAACCTGGTCCTTCACTGTGGCATAAAAAACCTCCACTGGTTCTCCGTGAACAAACTCTGGGTTACTCAAATTGAATGCTGTCTCTTCTGAGAGTACCCTTCTCATCTCTCTCACTGCCCCATCTCTCTGAATTTCACGCTGTAGTGACAGGTACGTCTCTGGAAAGTCTAATCGGCTAAATTTGCCCACAACTGACTCGAATTGTTTCAAAGACTTTTCAGGGACCATTTCATCATCTTGAAATACACACTTTCTACATCCTTTTACGGGATAAAGGCTAAGTAGCTTGCAATTGGCATCTTCCCAATGAAAGGCTGAACCATACAAAAGCACCAGGGTGAAACAGTTCAGGCGATTTGAACTGACAAGTCTGAATATCTTCTCAACACTGTGAGGATCTTTTCCTATATACAAAATAAATTATATTCAAGTTCACAATTCATTAATATTCTTAAGATTTAACTTCAATTTTTCATATTTCATAATTTCATTGGAATTGAACTCAAGGTTAACTCAGGATCTGGAATCTGGTAGACAAAAAATTATTTCAATAAAACTTGGTGCCAAAAATATGGAAATGGATTCATATTTCATGATGAGTAAAATGACGAAAGTAAATAACAAAACTTATTAATAAAAATAAACTTATTGTTAGTATTAGACAGTTAAACAGTAGTCATGTTAACAAATTTTGGATGGTAGATAAGCACCATATTTACTTGTACTTCCTTAGAACATCAAGCGATATTTATGCAATTAAGTATGGGTGCAGTAGTCTTGTGAAACCTGAGATTTTTTGGGAGGTAGCATTTAAATAAGAAATAAGACAGCAATAACTTAAATTAAAAGGACTGCTTAAAGAATCGTTTGGAAAATGAGGGACTCCTATTGGTTTGTGCAGTTCTGTAGCACTAGATGTAGTTGGTCAATCAATCCCAAATGAGCTTGACTGTCCAACTTAAATAAGCTCAAGCACCAAAAATACACACAAATAAATATTGTGGTGCTGCATGAGTGGGGGGTGATAAAAGATGATTTGGTTTTATCTAAAGCTGAGAAAACTCTTGGCAATTTACATTATGAACTCAGTTGATAAATCAAGCTATCTTGCTAAAGGATAGGATGACAATGAGAACCAACTTCAATGGCACAAATAAATAGTATTTGGACAGAAAAATTTTTGATAAGGTGATCTCACTAGGCTTGCACCCTTTTAAACACATCATTCCTGAAGAGAAAAATATTGCATACTATCTACGTAGGAAAGGGTGCTTTCATCCCAAAGTTAATACCCAATGCTTCATATCCATGTTTGTAAATAAGTTAATTTTTGAGTCTGGTTTAGTTTAGTTTTAAATATATTGTAACAAAGGAGGTGTTTTTATCCTTTGACTATATTATTGTTATAATATTATCATGTGACCTGTCCAGCCTTGCTGACACCATACCATAGTGAAAGCTGATGTGTGCTGGTGCAGAAATAGCTGTCTACCCTGAAACTATTTTTACCACCATGACAATTGGTCAAAAAATTGTTAACTTAACTTGGTTGGCTCTGACAGGCTTAAGCAGGCCTTGTTTTAGATTCATTCTTCCAAACATCATCCTCCAAGGTGAGCGAACTTCAAATTAGACTCAACCTAGAAAATATTTTCCCAGTTACACAATACCTGGCAAATAAGAGAAGCACACAGATTGACTTTTTTCAGGGTGTTTTATGAGCCCAAGGCGAGGCGAGGGTGAGTCTTGACCTTGTTCCTTAACTTCCTGAAAAATGGAGGAATCTTGACTCTCAACTTGACCTATCAATTCGTCAAAAGTTTGTAAATCTGGTAGAATGATTCCATAATCAACACAAAATCTTTTTTCAACATGTTCAAATGAACAGAAAAAATCTCTCTGTATTTCTCCACTTTCAACAAACTTCTCTATAAACTGATCTACAAGAGTGATATCACCAATTTCTCTCCAACTTGATCCAAGATCCTCCAGTACGACAGGCATGTCTGTCACTTCATAGGATGAGGGGACCAAAATTATTGGAGTCCCTTTGGGTCTTTGTGGTAGGTTGTACTTTATTGCACATGCTTTGCCATAATACTTCTCAAATTTCCTCATTAAGAACCCACTTATTGGAGGTGGAGTATTTGAGAAATTAAATGCACTTTCCATGATGTCCCCGGCAGACTTCTGGATGATTTGACATTTAAACATTGGCTCACCCTTCTCTTCACTAATCCTTTTGTGGTGATTAGTGATGTCATTCACCTTCCTATGAGTAAAATTAAGGAGGTAAGGCAAAATCCAAAAAATAAGAAAATCAGAGATCTTAATGGGTCCAATTTGTGTTCCTTTATCTCTGGAGTATTCCTTTGTTTGCAGCTTCTTCTGGTAAAATATCAAAAGTATCGAGAAAAATAGTGAGAAAGACCCCTTCACTGGACGTTTCAGTCCACTATTTTCTGGATTGATCACTTCTTCTGCATCACCTTTCTCAAACGCAAACGCTTGGGTGTCTTCCGGTGTTGGATACGTGACCACTTCCATGGGTTCTTCTGATGTACCACCACTTTCATTCAACACTTAGCCAGGTTTCTTACGTTTCGCCAAGTCAAGAAATTTAATCCAGAGCTTCGCTTCCTCCTTGGTAATGGCCATTTTATTTTTCTTATTTTCTGTGGTCAATCCGTACCCCATGTGCATGTTGGGTATCTCAGGAACTTGGAAGAAATAAGGTTTCTCGTAGTGTTTAGTCTGTTTTGGATCCAACATATCCCTTACAACCCTTGACAAAATTTCTTTCGGACCTCTGTCTTTCGGTCCCCCATCTCTGATTTTCAGATCACCAAGGAGAACAGTAGGCGACAGGAAAACCAAGTTTTCATTCTGAGTTGGGTCGTATTGCCAACCAGGTTCTAGGTCAAATTTATTTCTCAGTACCTTGGGATCTATTCCAAATAATTCAGCCAAAGTCTTGTTAGAGCTAGTAACCGCTGCCTCTCCTTCAGACCAGCCACTAAGCCAATTCGTAATGGGTTTGGCAGCTTCCTTTTCCGCCATGCTACGTTTCAAAATATGACTGCAAAAGGCCTTCGTCGAAATGTACAGATTTAGTAAATTCCAGGCGTGGGGATAATCGGTGAACGGAGGAAAAACGTCTGAGTGCGGGCTTAAGACCCGCGGTACGAAACGTGGGCTTGGACGAGCCTCTATCTCGCGCGTTCGACAGGGATAAAAACGTCTGCGCATGCGCTACAGACCCATGGTAAAGAAAACGCGGGCTCAGACGCGCGCTTATTTAAACTCAATAAATTTTGCAGGAAATGAACAGCCATTACAAAAGTTTAAAAAATAACGAAGCCGTTAAAAAGATAAGGTTTTAATTCTCATTTTTGAAAAGAAGAAAAGAATTGAAAAAAATTGAGAGGGTGTACAAATTGTAAAAGAATTGTTCTCGCGCCGAAAAACGGTCTTTTGTGCAAAGTTTCAATACGGTTGCGAACTGGCTCAATTTGCGGCAACGTTTGCAGTGTCATGTTGGCTTTTTCTGATCACTTTTTCGTCCGTTCATACAAAATGTTGGTTCGTCGGTAAAACAAAGAGCAGAAAAGAAGCTTTTTACGGCAATTCTAAGCCCCTACCACTTGGTTTGGCAAGAGCTGTGAAGTTGCCTGAAGAAACTCCAGTTTGTTTACGTCATCGTCGAACGATCGAAAAGCAAGACAGTCGCTGCTCATCGCCGCTTTTCGACCGACATTCCAATTATTTACATTTAATTTGTGTAAGCCTTTTCGAAATTTTGGACACAACGGGAAGAAAGAAAGCAAGATATCAATGAGGGAGCACGTGGTGTGGGGGAGCATATTGTATTGCGTAGACTGGACGGGACTGCACTGGACTGGACTTGTAAAACGGGGACTAGTAAAGCGCGGACTAGTAAAACGCGGACTCGTAAAACGCGGACTAGTAAAACGCTGGCTAGTAAAACGCGGACTAACAAAACGCGGACTAGTAAAACGCGGATTGGTAAAACGCGGACTGGTAAAACGCTGACTGGTAAAACGCTGACCAGTAAAACGCTGACTAGTAAAACGCTGACTAGTAAAACGCGGACTTAACAACAACAACAACAAAAAAACAATGTCATACGAAGGCGATCACAAGACTTAATAGTGAGCCAATTTAGTGTGTGACAATCCCTGACAATCCCTGTTTGACCTTTAAGCTTAGCAATGCACAATGTACAGCACGAGGTTATTGGCAAGCGAGCAAGAGGAATAAATATTATAATTGTAAGTTATAGATAATACCTCTCCTCAGTAGTCGCTACGAACCCTACGGAGTCACATGAGATGCGCGCATGCTGCCGGTCAGTGCTCGCTGGCTGGTTTAGATCTTCATTCTCATTTTACTGGACGTAAACCTCGTCTGGAATATATGATACACCTGGCTCCGTGGGCGTTGAACAAAATTCGCTACTCAAAAATAGTGGAACTTCATCGAACGCAGCCCTTACATAAATAATTTTGTAGTTTCGGGCTCTATCGATTCAATTAATCGTCTGCTACGAGCGTCTAGAAGTTATATTAATGCGTAATAAGAGAGGCAACTAAGCGCACAATTTACAAAATAATTAGCTGATCACTTTCGGAGAAAATTACTCAACTCTAAAGTAGGAAGATTCCTCTTTCAAAGACAGTTACAAAATTAAGATGAATATCTACAAAAAGGAAAAAAATTCCTCATTTTTGCGTTTAAAAATGTCATGGCTATAATTTATTTGCTATGGCAGTATCCAGTTTTCCATTTTAGATATTACATACAAAATTATGCAATCTATACATACACTCTAGGGGCACATTTCCAGTTATTGTTGCTCATAGCAAAATTCTTCCGCTAACTCTCGCAGATTCACAAGCACATGCTGTAAAGCTTGACCCAAAATCTGGTAAGTTGCGTCTGAACCTTTTACTCCTTTCCAATGCCTGAGCATTTGATATCCCTTTTCAGAGAGAACCTCGTTTGACTGGCGAATTTCCTCAAGCTTTGGATCTTTGATTCTCAAGCGGCGCCCAAGCGTTTTCCAAGCATCACCAAGATTTGAGGCAAGATGTTCCAGTTCATCATCGCTAGGCGTGCCTTGTTTGACTACAGAGACAAAGTTATTGTTCTTGAGAAGCATAAATAAAGGGCAAAAATAAGTTGACTAAGGCAGAAATTCTAGTAAAATGATTTACGATAATTTCTCAGTTCACCATTTTAAAGTCATTACAAAAGCATACAGCCCTATTTAAAGTTCAAGTCATAGGTTCGCGGTCAATATAAAGTTTGAAAGATCATAATAAAGCTGGCGTTTTGCAAACAATCCAAATTTTGAAAATTAATAAAACTTCTTCCATGTTTACACAGCCTGATCTAAACACAAGGGGGTCGAGAGGATTTGAGCACGTTATGCAAACCCGAAACCCAGTGGAGGATTGCTTTAATAAAACATAATTCACATGACAAATAAAGGAAAATGTCACCTCTTCTTGATTGATATAGATTTCCTTAAACACGCACACTAGACGATAGTATTTTTTACTAGCCAATCAAATTCTGTATTTAGTCTACACTGCGTGTATGAAACAATATCAGCTTGAATCCTCGTAAATTTGACAGGGGAAATACCGATTTGGCAGCCCGAGAACATGGTTGAGAAGTTGAATCGCTTTTCGGGCTTTGTTGAGTTTTACTTGTTAATAAAGTTTCGCTCCCCCATTCTGAATTTAAAAAGTTAACGAATATCATAACCAATGTGAAAATAGCTTTTTAGGCTGAGAACGTCTCGTAGAGAATGATATTTTATGAAAAATAGAGAGCCAAAACATGGGAAGCAATCAGCCGTGCACCGTTTGCTTCGAGACAAAACCAGTCTGAGGATGATGGTTTGGTGTGTGTTTTCGTTAACAATTTGTAATAAAGAATGTACTTGTAGGGGATTTTCTTGTAGAACTTGAATACTAGAATTATTCCGGAAAATGCTTACTACGCATCTTGTTGCATATTTTGTCGTCTTTGCTTGAGCTTTCTCGACGAGGTCGTCCACCTCATAAACAGAAGGGCACAACATTAACTTGCAAAACTGAAGGGAACTTTTGGTGCTTTTCAGTTGAACAGAGGCAAGTGCGAGGCGAGAGGAGCATAAATAAAATTAAGCCGCTCTTACCGCACTATTTTTCAAGCTCTTCCGCCCTCAGGCACACCTCCCATCATTAACCAATCACAGCGTTCCGAAAAAGTGGCGGGAAGCGCAGTGGTCA